AAACTCCCTCTGCATAGGCCCCTACAACGGTTCATTTCCACTGAAGGGTGTTGCTCCATCAGCGTGAGGTCGTGGTCGAGTTGCGGTCTGAGCTACAGAAGGCGGAACCGGAACATAAGGATTTGACCAAGAAGTATTCGGGGAGTGTCCAGGTCAAGTCAGGGCCTCCTTTGCCTTCGGTCAGGGGAGTCCTGGACGGGGGGCTCGACGCTCTGGTGGTCGACGTGAACTTCTTCTGCGTTGGTGAGAAGGAGAACGAGCTGTCTCCCGAAGATCGTGCTGAGATGGAAGCTCGCTCGAAGCAGCTTAATGAAGGAGTTTGATGTGCGCGGACTTGTGTGCTCAGGCGCATCAGACAGCATACCGCATTCGGCAAGAACATGAGGAGCATGCTAAGAGGATACCATCGAGAGTTTCCTAGAGGCCCCGCGCAGGCAAGAACACGCCAGTTCCAGAAAACGCAGATGTTGCTGGAGATCAGGCCGACGGTGCTGGAGGTGGTGCCCCTAGCGCAGCAGACCTGCCTGGAGGCGCTGACACTGCCGCTCCACGCCGCTACTGAGCAATCCAGTGAGGAGGACGCCCGTGACGCCCTCAAGGCACGTGCTGATGCTCTTTTGAAAGGTGCCCCCCCCCCCCTGGCGCGGCCTGAGGCTGAAGTCGGGGGGGGGGGGGGGGGCGATTATATATATATATATATATGACACTTCTAACTTTAGTTCAACTTTTATCCTGTGACCTGTCGGCCTTTCTCACGTCTGCCCCCTCCCTCCTGACAAAGGAGGCGTCGCCCGTGCCTCGAGTCGGTTCCGGGGCTTGAGGGGAGCGGTGCGACGCGCGCTCTGGAGGGCATCGCGAAGTTTGTTTGGAGATCGGTCGGCCCGCGGATCCCTGCCATCGGACGCCCGTGTCCAGGTGGCCAATTTTGGGCATCGCTCGGAAGAGTGTCCTGTCATGGCTTACCCAGAGGCTGGCAGCCCTGTGAAACTCGTCTCGGGTCCCAGAATCTCCTTTCCTCCTTGCCCCGCTCCCTTTCTTCTTCCTGCCCTGCCTCCGCCCGGCCAGGCCCAGGTGTCGGAAGGGCTGAGCTCGGTGCGACTGCGCACCTGCAGTAGGAATGTAAATTCCTGGGGCGCCTCCAAGAAGATGTTGCCTGAGTCGCCTGCCAACAAAGTGTTGGCTCAGGAACATCGGTTGCATATTGCAGAAGCTATCTACCCTGCCTCGCAGTGGTGCGCTCGGAACGGATGAAAATCGTTGTGGTGCCCTGCCTTGAAGACGGGTTCCGTCAATTCGGGAGGAGTTGTCATTCTTGTTTTCGGTTGGTTTGCATTGTATGCGCCAGTAAAAAGGCACTGTTGTCAGTCCAGGCCATGTCATGACGGCTGAAGTCCAAGTCCCAGGGGCTTCGCCTTCAGTGTTGGAAGCGCTTACCTCTACAACAGCGAGGGGCTCTCGGAGCGGAACTTAGACGTGTCGGTCTCCCTGGGAGCCCGACGTGCTTTGTTGGGTGGGGGTCCTGCTTGTGGATTCTGGAGACTGCGCTCACTTCGGCGAGGGCCCCCCCTCGAAACTGGATTGCTCAGTGCGCCGCGGAGGTTTAGGTAAGTCGGTGGCGTCATGTAAGGTGGTTCACGACGCCGACTTGAGCCCGCGTCGCCCCGTCGACCTTCGACTGCACCCGGCCCCTGCAGCCTTGAAGGCCTTGAACTTTCGCAAGCCTCCTCCTTTTCCTTCGGCTCCTTCTTTCGGGTCCAGGCCCGGGCGGCAGCGTTGGGATGATGTGCTGGACGTGGCCCAGGAAGGTCTGAGGGCGGTGGACGAAGGCGAAGGGGTTGAGGTTGCTCGACTTTTTTACCAGAGCCTACGGGGCTTGGCAGACGTCGCCGAGAACGAGCTCATCCAGCTCCTCGGCGCTGACTTGACCAAGAAACGCACGAGAAATGCTGACCCTGAGCGGATATGGCGACCGGAGCTGAGTAGAGACGGGAAGCCAAGGTATCTTGCTTGCAGAGCTATGAAGTAGCTAGGGGCCCAGTTCAAGATTCTCCTCGGTCTGCAGAGAGACAACCGAGGCGATTATTCGCAGGCGAAGGCCATCCATGCTTCCCATTTGCGTGGGCCTGCCTCGGTCAAGGCCCATGCTTTTGAATCTCAGACCGCATTTAACGACGTAAGGCGCTTTGCGCTTCAGCGAGGCCCCCAGCAGTGGACGGTCCCCCAGTGGGCTCTCGGTGAGGCGCACGTTGACCGTGGGCGCCAAGTGCATAGCTATATCCAAGGCTGACTGGCGAAACTGCGAAACTGGCTTACGAAAGGCGATAACAAGGGCGCCAAGCGCGTTCTCGTCATCGCGCGGGGCCCCACGCCTTGGAGACAGACCAACGACCATGTTGGCGTCGGACGTCCGATTTTGGCTGATCATGTCTATTAATTATCTAAGGAAGTTGATCAGTTCAGCAAATGCTGGGGCCAGAACTCGGGCCGAGCCAAACCCATCACTTTAGCCGAGCCCCGAGCTACCCCATCACTTTAGCCGACCCAAACCCATCACCCTGCTCGGGCTACCCTTGATCAGCTTCGAGCCGTGTCTAGGAAGCACAAACGGATCTGCCATCGCGCACGATGGTTTCGACTGCAGACACTACCGAATGCTGCGCGATGAGGGGCTCGTGGACCTCGGCATTCTGTTTGCGTCGGTGGAGTCGGTAGGTGATCTTCCGAGTCAGATCTCGGCGGTGCTTATCGCTCTTTCAGCAAACCCGCTGGCGGAATTAGACCGATAGGAGCGTGCTGCTCTTGCTATAGGGTGTGGGGGCGGCTTCGGTGCCCCCGTGCCCTATCCTGGGGGCAGGGGCGCCCTCGTCGGTGCTGGCCTGCAGGGGCTTGTCGAGGAGCTTCGGGCGTAGTCAGGCGCCGGTCTATTCGAGCAGAAGCGGGGGCCGCTCGACGTGAACTCAGTCCTAGCGCGTTCTATGACAGGCTCAAGAATGATGCAGCGATCAACCGCGACGCCCTTGAAGATTAATGCATGAGACATGTTTCCGATTCCGATTGCTCGTTTATCTTTGCATGCGCGCAGGCGGGGGCGTTCCATGTCAATTGCTGGTCTGCTTGGCGGGCCGTGCTTCGTGATTCGTGGTGTGATCGCGGAGTGTTCTTTTGCTGCCTCTCACATGTGCGCGTTCGCCCTTGGCGCGCTTGACGCGCTCCCGTCGCGCGGGCAGCTGCAGTTTGATGCGTCTATCGGCGGTGCGGGGGTCTCGAGCACCGGCGGTTGCAAGCAGGTGGTGCAGCGCATTCTGTCGACGTCGATTGTCCCGCGTAAATTTCCCACCTCCGATGTGGGCTGTCAGTTGGCCCATGATAAAGTGTGCGCGGTGGCCTCCAGTAAGAAGCTTGCGCGTGGCATCTCTTTGGCTCTCGGTGAGTTAGGCGACGGGGCCCTCGACTCGACCGTCGACCTCGGGGTTGATTTTTGCGCTGGCCGCTCGGCCAGAATCTCGGGCATGAGCTCGAAAATGGAAGCTCGGTGTGCTTTCGTGTGCCGCGAGGATCGGCGCCTCGAGAGACAGTCGGAGCGCGTTGGGCGCCCTGCCCCCGCGACCTTCGTTGCCTGGCCCCTCGCTGGAGACGCCTGCGGCGCGGACATTTTGGGGGGTGCGACCAGCGGCTGCTGTTCATGAGACGTCGAGCCTTCTCGGCTCAGAACCCTTCTGCCAAGAGTCGCTCACTCACTGCCGCTGGCAGTCTTTCGGGGGGCCCTTGCCGGCGAGCTGCGCGCGCCCCGATTCTGAGATGGAGCAGGGCAATCTGGATCACCCACGCTAGAGTGCTTGGCTCCCTGTCGTTCGAGGAGTTGCGCTCCACTTGGATTTGCCCCCCCCATCAAGCGCGCGGCGTGGCCCGCGGTGATGGGGCCGCTTTCCACCTTGAGGCTTTCCCTCTTGCGCCTGGAATGGTGGGCGGAGAATTCTATGGCGATGATCGACGACAGGAGGTGCCCCGCGTCGCTGGGTCCAATGTCGCCCAAGCTGTTTGAGACCCTGTGTAGAGATGCTGCATGGGGGGGGGGGGGGGGGGGGGGGTAGAGACTTCGGGGGCAAGTGGGAAGTTGGGGACCGTCTCTGCCGAGGCATTCCTGAGGCCGCGTGCAAATCAAAGAATTTCTCTCCTGCCCAAACAGGGTGGATTCGCGCCTGCGCTAGCTGTGCGATCTGGACGGCTGCCCGCGCGATCAGCTGTGGACATCAAGTTTACCTGCTGTGCCCTAGATGTCGAGGGGCCCCTGATTCTGTCGCCCACAGGCCGCGAGCATGCACCGAGGGCGAAGCATCGGAGTTGTTGGCTCAGCTTGTTCTGGCCTCTATCGTAGAGCGTGCCTTAGTTTCGGTGCGGTCTGAGGCCGCGCCTGCTGACATGTGTCTCTATACTCGAGGAGCTTTCGCTCATCCGGCTGACTGGTTGCCCGGGCCAGCTCGTGAAGGCGCGGAGACCGTCCTGTAGAAATGGCGCAGCGCCGAGCCCATGGGCCCCGAAGGTCCTGGGATGCCAGTCAATGGCGAGATGTGGGTTACTTTTTCATCGATGGATCCTGCCTTCGGCATCCTGTCAAGGATTTGTGCAGAGCTGCGTGGCGTCTCACAATGAATTCGGGTGATGGGGGGGTGCCTTGGAGAGGTGAAAGGCCTCGTGTGGGCCCATGCCCCGCAGTTCCCACAAGCTGCCGAGTTCTCGGCGAGGTGCGTGGTGGCGCAGTTCATGATTTTCAAATCAATCTTGCATTCAGATTTCGCAGAACGCTGTGCGTCGCAGTGCCCCCCCCCCCCCCGATTCCTGAGGGGCATTGGGGGCAGCGTGCGTGCTCTGGCATGATTTTGCAAGTTAGCACGTTAGAAGGCAAGCTAGTAGATGATATAATCAAAGTCGAGGGCCGAGATGAGGCCGGCGTTCGGCGCGCGGGCGTTTCCGTGGGCGAGGTGATGCGGATGCCGATGCTGGGGCTAAGCGCGGCTTGCAGTTTCATCCCTCTGCCCCGGATGATATGGAACCTGCAATTGATTCGGTAGATGCGGCCAGGGCACATTGCATGTTAGCTGCGAATTCGCTTCCGCTCTGGGCTGTGCTCCCCGCCTGTGCTTCTCGCTCCTCCCTCGGCCCCCCCCCCCGCTCCGCGCAGGTGGGGGATGTGGTCAGGCATGTGGAGATGGAAGGGCAGGCGTGCTGGCGAGTGCCTCCCCCAGGCAGGCGTGCCAACGCTTCAAACTCCATGCAGCACGGCAGCAAGAGCTGAACCACCCTACGGTGGCGTTCGACTGCTCTGATAGCTTCGGAATGCGTGACTCCTCCCTTTCGAGCCGCCCGATATGGTTGGAAGGCTTTGTGTCAGGGCAACCATACTACCTACTTGTGGCAGAAGCTTGGGGTGACGGTCGATCTCGATAATTGCATGGCCTGTTTTGACACCTCGCTCTTTTGCGGATCTGATCCGCCCATCCGCTCTGCGGCTGAGCAAGACCAGCAGATGAAATCGGCTGCCCTCACGTATGTGGCGGAACGCCTCCGCTCCGCAGAGGGGTGCTGGTGCGGGCTGGTGCGTGAGGGTCGATCAGGGTCTTCCTGGCGACTCAGACTTGCCCCGAAGGAAGGTAAGCCAGTCTGCGTCGAGTGCTGGCAGGCCCCGCAGTGTCACCACATGGCACTCCGCGGTGGGCCCCGTAGAGGCCAAACACAAGCTGGGGTCGCCTGCCAGCCGCCCGCCCGCTCATCGCCTACAAGGGGGCCCGGCAGCCCACGCTGTCGAGGAACGTTCGGTGTCGCTCCAGGGGGGCCCGTCGCCGACCTGTCGGCGATGTGCTGTCCGTTCCAGGGCAACGTTTTCTTCCTGAGCCGGCCCGCGTCTGACCTTCAGTCGGGCGTGTCTTTCTGCAGCACGACTATTCAATAATAGTAAAACACATTCCGCAGACGAGTTTTCGTGCTTTGTGGACGGGCGTGCCCCTCCTCTACAGCAGGAGTATTCCAGTATCTTGAACAGTAGTCAGGGGGCGATATTTCGTACTTTGTTGATTTTTCTTGAGTGCTGCGAAGGCCTTGCGGCCGGTGTCGCCGAGCCTGAAGGGGGACGTCGGTGACGATGGCGGCGGTGGCGGCGGCGACGACGACGTGGACCCGAATCCTCACGGATGGTTCTTGGGGTCTCTTGGGTAGGTTCTCGTGGGCCTGTGGGGAGAAATGTTCGGGTCTCTTGGGGGCCTCTTGGGGGCCTTTTCGGCTATGCTTGGGGCCTCGTGTGGGTTTCTTGGGGCTTTTTGGCAAACTCGTAAGGTGAGGGGCAAGGGGAGGGGTGCCCCCCTTCCCAGAGGGGTTTAGCCATACGAATTCGTTAAAACACCTCCGCCCGAAGGCTGGTGGGAGGAGGGGAAGGAGGACGAGGAGAAAGAGGAAGAGGAGGACGAGGAGGAGGAGGACGACGACCACGGAGAGGATGAGGAGGAGGAGACAGGACCAGATGGGGAGGGGAGGAGGGGGAGGAGGAGGCGGAGGAGGAGGAGGAGGCGGAGGGCGAGCGGGGAAGAAACAGGACGGGGGGATGACGACCACCGCTCCCGATCCCGAGGTCGCCGCGCCGGGGCCGGCGTCGCGCGTGTTGCCGCCGAAGGCGTTCGGGGCTGGGGGCCGCGGCTGCTGGCAGCCCCCGCCAGCGGCGCTGTGGAGGATCGACGGGGTCTCGTCGCCCTCGTCTTACGTCGGGCCGGTCCCTCTACAGGTCTCGTCGCCGGTCTCGTCGCCCTCGTCTTAAGAGGGACTATATTCAAAAATAGTCAAAAACTAGTCTGGTGGCGATGTTCTGACCACTTTTGATGATTTCGGGAGTCTGTTGTTGGGGTATGTTGCTGGTTTTAGGGGACAGGCCCGCCTTCGCCCTTGTCCTTGCTCTTCCTCGCTCCTTCTCCTCCCGCTCCCCGTGTCCTCGAAGAAGGGAGCGGCGTTGACATCAGCTTTCGGAGGTTCGCACGGGTGTTTTTTTTTTTTGTTTTTGTTGTTTGTTTTTGTTTGTTTCCTTGTTTTCAAGAGGAGAACAGCATAAGCATCAATCGGAGGTTCGCACGGATGTCTTGCGTCTGTGCTTGAGCCACCCGCGCGCCAGGGAAGGGGTCCGGCGCAGATCCAGGGGATCTGCTCGGACAATCCGAGGGTCTAGGTTGCTGCAGTGCTGCTCTCGTTTCGTCTCCTCTCTCCCCCTTCCCCCTTGGTCGTCGTCCCCTGCCCCCTCGTTCCTTCTCGCTCTCGCCCATGCAGTGTTGCTCTCGTTTCGTCTCCTCTCCCCCTTCCCCCTTGATCGTCGTCCCCTGCCCCCTCGTTCCTTCTCGCTCTCGCCCTGCGCCTGGCAGCGGCCCCGCGCCTCCCCCCCCCTCTCCCCCCCACGACGCCGTTGAAGCATAGCTTCCCATTCGCCTCGCGGCTCCGACGCATGTTACACGCTCCTATTCCAGACGCACGGGTGCCGCCGCCCGCCCGGAGGAGGAGGGAGGGGAGGCTGCGGGAGGATGAGGATGGCGAGGAGGAGAAAGAGGGAGGAAGGCGGACGGGGAGGAGGAGGAGGAGGAGGAGGAGGATGAGGATGGCGAGGAGGAGCAAGAGGGAGGACGGCGGACGGGGAGGAGGAGGAGGAGGAGGAGGAGGAGGAGGAGGAGGAGGAGGAGGAGGAGGAGGAGGAGGCCATGGGAGCAAATCGAGGAGAAGGGCCTGGACGGTTACCCGCAGGGGGGCGGGGACAGCCGCCGCATGGCCACAGCCAGATCTCAAGGGGGACCACCCCGACCCCGCCAATTGGCATTTACTCTGAACGGCCGTGGGCGTTTACTGAGCAGCCCTGCCTTGTTCGATTCCTCCCTTGGGTGCGTTTGCTAAACTGCCTCCCTTGCCGGGGTGTTTATCAAGGGGTGGGCGTGAGGGTTTCCTGCGCTCCAGAATCGACCGATTGCCTCTCGTGAGCACCACTGCGCCAATGGTCGCAGCTCCGTCTCGAGCGTCAGGGCTCACGCATCACGACGGCTGGCCGGGCGCCGAGGCGATTCCCCTCGCGTCGAGCAGTGGCGAAGCGTCCTGGCTTGCCTATAGGCCCACCAAAGAAGGTTCTAAGAACTTCCTGTGGTGCGCGACACATGTCCTTCGAACATTTCTGGCTGAGATTGTCGTGTTCTAACACATCAGGCTTATGTTCTAAGAACATTGCTTGCTTTTTCCTTGGATTTGTTTGGGGGGGCTCTGAGAACATGTCGTGGTAGGCCTAGAGAAATTCTTGGACCGTCGGTCCTGTTCAACTTGCGCCTCGAGCGGAGGAGCTGGCGGCAGCGGGGCGGCGCTTCTTCCTGGACGGAACCTTCACTATTCAACAGTTCTGCGCCGACAGAGCTTCGAACTTCGACCGCCGCGCGACGTGTCGCCGCCGGCGTTGCCCCCGCCAGGCCAAGGATTTGCCTCACCTGCGAGCCCACCAGCAGCTGGGCCAAGGAGGAGGAGGAGGAGGAGGAGGAGGAGGAGGAGGAGGAGGAGGAGCAGGAGGAGGGAGGAAGGGGAGGAGAGGAGGAGGAGGAGGGAGGAGGAGGAGGAGGAGGGTCCGACCCCGACGCCATCGGGGCAGCGGCCCGAGGTCCGAGGCCGCTCGAGGAGCTCGGCGCGACGGAGCCCCGCCGCTGCGTTCCGCCGCCCGGCGACCGCCAGGTGCACGCGGCCAGCGGGCTCCGCGCACCCCGCTCGCGGCCCGCTCGCGCCCTCGCCCCGCGGGCACCCGCGGGCGAGCCGCCGTGCGCGGGCGCCGCGCCGGGGCGCGGCCCGGCGCGCCGCACCGCGTTGCCCTCCGACGACCTGCCGCGCTGCTCCCCGGGCCGGGGCCCCGGCGGGCCCTCCGCGTGGGCCCCGCCCTCGGCGGCCTGGCATCGCTCGGACGTGTGCATATTTTTTCTTGGCGAGAGCCATCGAGGACCATCCTGGGCCATCGAGCAACCAAAACGCGCACGAAACCGAAAAATGCACCGGAAACGGACGTCCGAGCGATGGCAAGGCAGTGGCTGCAGGGTCTGCGACGAGAGGCCCCGTCGCTCCGCCCGCGCGAGGTGCCCCCCCCCGGCAAGTCGGCAGCAGCGCCGCCGCGGGCAGCATCACTGAGGCTCGAGCAGCACGGAGGAGCTCGAGCAGCACGAGAGGAAGTTCGTGGGAGGCGTTGCTGGAAGCTCGAGCAGCACGATTGGGCCGTGCTCGGGCCTGACAGGGGAGGTGCCTGGCAGCGACCAGCTCGCGCGCGCGGGGTGCTTTCCCACGCGGGGTACCGCACACTGCTAGAGACGCACTGGAGGATCCGAGCTCTATACAACGACGCTTTGTCCGGCGCCGCACTGGAAGCTCTCACAGGGAAGCGGATCTTGGTTCTTGGTGTGTACGGGATCCTGGTGTACACATGTGTCATTGCTTCCCCTGGAGGACGGAGAAACAAGTATACACCCCCGTCGACGTCGTCCCCGACCCTCCAAAAGTCCTGGGATTGAAAACAGCCCGCCACTGGTAATGTATACGCTCCAGTTTCCAAACGCTGTTCGGGGTTCACGCTGGCTCACACTGTGCACATGGTTGCGGACCTTTGGATGCTCCCTTCAGTGTCTGCGGCACGGATGCGAGTTTAGGTTCCATGCCCCGCTCAGGTGTGTTTGTGTAAGAATTCCCCTTTGCTTCGCCCCTAGCCTTACCTCTATCCCTGCCTTTTCTCTATCCCCGTTCCCGTTGCATCTTGCTCCCATAGTTTCCATGTATCCTTCTCTATATAGGTACGATGTTGTTTATCAATGTATATATATAGTATATGTATATATGTTTATAGCTGAGGGTTTTATAATGTATGTCGTGCGTCACCGCCGTAGAGATAAAACCCTGCTGGCGCAAGGCGTGCGCGCTCCAATTGACATGTGCTATCAGATAGCACATGTGCTACAGTAGCACAGAATCTGTGTTACTGTAGCATCGCACGCTCCTTCGTGCCCGTAATCATGCATGTCGTTTGCTTTATCTCAGCCCGATCGACCCAGGCGATGGCTGCCACTAGGGCGCTCCCCGCTATTGGAACGAACTTGCCGATCCTACGGGCCAGTCAAGCCACAGCCCACCTTGTATGAATGTCAGTTTTTGTAGGTGTGAGACTTTAGATCGCTTGCCAGTTTTAGCAATGTATTGTGGAGAGTCGATGTTTGAGTTATTTGTTTCTGGTCACCCGTCCTCCCCATACTCCCGTCTCCTGCTCTCCTCACCCCATTTTGCCTCCACTCCCCGTCCCTGCCGTCCCTCATCTCCTTCCTTATCCAGTTGCTCCGCCTCCCCTCCTGTGCTCGCCCGTGCCCAAGAGGAGCCTGCGATTGCTTCAGCGGTTGCTGGCGTCGCTGCCACGGGAAAGGCCGCGCGGGGAATCGAACCGTGGTGACATTTGATCGTTCCCGCTTTCTCGCCAGCCGACATTATACACATTTATGAGTGTAAATATTCATGCGCACAGATACGTAACATTCCGCAGTTGCGGACAAGAGTGGGGTGGCGGCGGTGTCGTCGGCAGTCTGCGGAGCTTTGAAGAAGCTGGCCGCAGCCCCAGATTTGCAACTAGCCCGCCGCATGCGCCGACTTTCTGGTCAACGCAATGTGGGTGGGTCGCGGGGTGCGTCGCGGGCGGGTCGCAGTCGAGGACGACGACAACAACAACGCAACAACAATCATGGTGCCCTCATGCGCCATGCTTCTGCATGCCACATGCATCTATCATGATGCCACCCCGACGTGAGGGAACTATGAGGGCCGATACTCCAACACCCAGATCTCCCGCCCAGTAAGGTAGAGCCAACACCTCTTACGAGGAGGTACTTTCCCACCTTCACATAGCACATCGGTTCAAGTCTGGGGAGCGCTGAGGATTGGAAACACGAAGGATTCCAGCCCGAAGAGGGGCAAACTATAAAAGCATACGTCAAACACAACGGACTCGAGCTCTAGTCGAGGGGCAATCCATATGAGCATACGTGAAACATACAGGATTCGAGCTCAGTCGATGAGCAATCTCTAGGAACATGCGTAAAGCAACAAGGCTTCGTGGCCCAGTCGAGGAGCAATGTACAGGATCACACGTACAACACAGGATTCGAGCCCCAGGAGAGGGGCAAACTATAGTAACAGACAAGAATTCGAACCCCTGGAAGGGAGCGGCAAAGTTTATGGGGGCGAAGCATATGGGGGCGAAGCCTACGGGGGGCCACAAAGCACTCCCCGAACACGTATCCCAACATAGAACGGTGCTTCCTGGGACATCCTAGGAGCGAGAGGGCCGAAAAGCGGTCGCCCATCCCAGATCCGAATACAGAGAAGATTCTCCTGGGGCCTCCTGGGAGCGGAGGGAGGGGGTGGGGCCGAAAAGCGCTTCCCAAACACATATCAGATCCCAATACAAAATGCTCTCTGGGGCCTCCCGGGGGCGGGAGGGCCCAACAACGCTCCCCGAACACATATACTTGGAGCGTCTTTGAGCTTCCGGGGGCCTCCGCAAGGAGCTGCAAGACTGCTTTGGCGAATTCCCTTGGGCTGCTGAATTGAGGAGGAATATCAAGCGAAACGGCCGTTCCAGCATCCGCGAGTAGCAGCAATAATGCTCTGGAGGACTCCTTTGTGGTGCTGACTTGCAAAGAAGTCTTAAGCGAAAAGGCCGTTCCAGCATCCGCGAGTAGCGACAACCTGCCTGGTTCTGATGGACCCCCCTTGTGGCGTTACTTTGCGAGGGAACGTCAGGCGAAACGGCCGCTCCAGCATCCGCAAGTGGCGGCACAGCTGCTCTGAAGGACGTCCATGTGGTGCTAAATGGCGAGGAAGTCTCAGGCGTAGCGGCCGCTCCAGCATCCGCCGTAGCAGTTGGGCGAGCGATGTTTCCCGCGCCTGCTGCGAACATCTGGCTTGCGACGCCGGGCCCGCCGACGGCGTCAGTCGCGCTGGCGATGTCAGCCGCGCTCGCGACGCGAGTCGCGTTTGCGACGTCAGTCCCGCCTACGACGTCATCAGCGCCTACGACGTCAGTTGCGCCTGCGACGTCTGTCGTGATTGCGACGTAGCCAGGGCTCTGGCGTCGGTCGCAACGTCCGTGTTCGTCGTGGTCACAGCGCGGCGACTCCACCCAGAGTTCTTTTGAATCAGTTTTTCATTTGGGTGTCTCTTCGTGTCGACAAGCCGTCATTGGGCGTCGACGGCGTCTGTCGCGCCCACGACGTCAGTCGCGCCGACGACGTCAGTTGGTCGCGCAGGCGACGTCAGGCTCGCACACCGGGTCGACGGCAGTCGCGCCGACGACGCCAGTCGTGCCCGAGGCGTCAGATGTCCCAACGACGTCAGTCGGGCCTGCGACGTCAGTCGCGCCCGCGACTTTCCTTGGAATTTCGTTTCATGGGCGCTTTTTTGGGGCTGCTCCTCTCATGGCGACA